AAAAAAACCTTTACAGCCATAAAACATCTTGCTTTTAAAAAAAATATATTTTTACTAAAGATTTTAACAGTATGAAAGATAATACAAACTAATATCAAAAAGAAAAAAGAAAGTAGAAAGAAAAGAAATACAAAGTGCAAAAAGAAAAAGAAAGAACTTTTAAAAAGAAAAAAAAGAAATAGAAAAAAGGAATATTTAAATAAGTGTATCTTCTTCTCAACAAGTACAAGCAAATATAATATTTCCCCACCTCCTATGAAATTAGATACATAATCCATTTTTTCCCATAATCCAAAAATCATTGTCATTTCTGTCTAGGTACTGGCAAAAATTCCATAAAGGGTTTCCAGCATTTTATAACAGTATTGTTTATTTTACCCTGATCAAACAAGTCAACTTAATATTCTTTTTTTTTTCCCCTCAAGCTGCTGTTGTGGGATTGAATCTCCATTCAAACTTTCTTTCTCCCATCTCAAAAATTTCTTCAAAACTTTAAAAATCCTCTTTTGTAAATCCATTAATAAGTCTTTGTCCAGGTCATCTTTCATCTCTTGGCTTATTATCTGTATTTCCACTTTAGCTGTCATCTCTCCTTTATAAGCCACAATTTCTTTATTTTCCAATGTTTTTATATCTGCTGGAATTTGTTTCACCTCTTCATTCTGTCAGTCTGTAAATTCTTCTACATTATTCTCCTTTTCATCTTTTGTTTCCTCTTTAGGATCTTCTTCAAGAAATGCATTAGCTGGTACAGTAATTATTGCTATTAGTTTAGCTATAAGTTTTTCTCCCAGTTCTTCAGAGATGCTTTGAAATTTCTCAAGTGTCATACCTTTATCTGTCATGTTATAAGTTTCACTGCTTTTCTTTTGAATCCAAGATAAAAAACAGGTTTGTCTCTCTCTCTCTCTTTTTCTTTTTCCTGCCTGGAACTTTAGTGTCCAATTTCTATAGAGTCTCAGATGTATATATATATATTCAAATTTCAACCAATCATCTCTTTCCTGGTAGACTAAATAATTTGGGTTCCTGCAAAGATATTATTTATGTTATTATTTCAAAAATCTTAGCAAAAGTTCCAGTATTCCAAATTCTTCTGGTCTCTTAATCCATTTAAAACTTTCTTGAATTAAATTTCTTATTTAGCTTTTTGCCCTTTATTTTCTATTCTTTAAGTTCTCTAAACTGTTAGTTAATTTTTCCTCTATTTAGTAATGAAGTTTTACCCACCAGGTAGTCTTTCAGACGTGCTGCATGGAAGACCTCTTTGAACTGTAAAATAATTATTATTCCAAAAGTGATTAGAAAATGAGGTGGTCAGACCCAGTGTCCTTAAAGGCTTCGCTGCGGTTGAGAGCTTGATGGCTTCCCTCATCTCCTGGCGCTCAGATCCGTGGAATGATCTCAATCCTGTGGTCACCTCGTGAGGAGCAGCCATTCGGAGCACAAGTGGGAAATCTCGTCCTCTCCTTATCCAAAGGGGTTCCATCAGACTGAGTTTGCCACCAGTCCATTAATCATCACCACATCATTGTCTCTGCTCTTTTAGAGACGTCTAGTTCACCATTTTCCTTATCCAGAAGTTGCCATAAAGCATCTTTCTAATACTTTACTGTGCTGACCAGAAAAGTTTCCCTTTACATTTTTACACAAGTGCTCTTGCACAACCACACATGTATTTATTCACAATATGGGATGATATAGTATAATAATGTAGTGGTTGTACGCCTGACACCAGCCTGATGCTCTCCAGGGTTTGAGAGCAAAAGTCAAGGAGCAAAGGGAGTAAGGCAGCCTTCTCTCTGCTACACATCTGGGCTGAAATTGAGGGAGAGGAGAAAACCGTTGTCTGCTCTCTGCAAGAAATCTTAGAAAGGTGTATGCTATAAATGTGTTGGCTAACAATAATCTTTTGGGGTATTAATACTGCAAATCCCTCATTTTATGCTTAGTCTGATTTATGCAACCTCAGACTTCATCCATAGGTGCGTCATCAGTTTCAGCTGAGTTCATGCAATATATAATATAAATTGTCTGTGTGTGTTTGAAATTTTACATAACAATTTCAATTAAATATTATCATATCTCCTTGCAATTGTCTATACATAATCTACATCTATAGGCAACTCATTCATAAGTTGCAAGTCAGATCTGGTCTTCAATCCACTGAGGCCATACATTTGTCTTTTTAATGATGAAGAATCTTGGCAATTCTGTGTGTCAATCCATTTTCACTGTTCAACTATTAATTGCCATGTAGAAGACATGTAGTTCAAAAGGAGGTGTCCATCCAAAAATATTAAACTTTGTTTCAAAGTCAAATTAATATATATAATTATTTGTTTTCAGAACAATAACTGTAAGACATTGCAAAAACATGTGTTTTAAGGAAGCATTAATTTTGGTTGCATCTCCAACAACACAATGATTTACTCATTCCTTTTCTGTACAAAACACATGGGTGCAACAAGTCCAAAATACTTTTTGTTCTATAAAATTTGCGTATCAAATTGATTTATTGGTAACAGAAAAAAAATGATGGTGAACCTCTTGGGTCTTGTAGGATTTAACTATCCTTCTAGATGTCTCTAAGGTTTAAAATGCTGCTGGTTCAATTTCAGATTTCAATAAGGTTGTAATTGTAAATTCTGCCAGTGGGTGGCAACTTACAAATGGTATTGTATCTTTTAATTTGGAAAATGATGAATTCTAGTTGATCTAATATAAAAATCTCAGCATAAAATGTTTTCCATTGTATTGGGATAGTGCTATCTATATTTATTAAGAATTTTACATGAAGTAAAAGACGAATCTAAAGAAAAAAAGAAAAGCAAGAAAAAAGAAAAAGGTGCAAGAAAAGAAAAAAAAATAAACTAAAGTTATGAAATATATTGACTTCTGACCTTCTCCGCACCAGATAGGGATAGTGTTACCATATTTTTAATTGAAGTGGATTTATAATGTTTA